TCTCTTTCCTGTCATCACGTCGTCCTGGCCTCGTCATAGTAGTGGCTTGGGGAAGGAAATCAGTGCCTTGCTTGCGGGACTGGATAGTGGCAGTGTCCTTCGCTGTGGTTTTCTCTGGTGCCTGGGGAGGGTTTTGCTCTGTCCACAGCAGTTCCCTGGGATCAGACAGTGGACTTCCCCTGCAGTTCTGGTCATGATGTCAGAGCCCTCAGAGACAGAGTCCTACATGTATTCTTATGAGCAGCTTGACTTTCTTTCCTGTGCATACTTTCTCAGTTTTTGGTATTAATATGGTATGATATGTATATTTGTTTTTGGTATTTGTTATTATAGATACTTTCAAGCTTTGGTCAATAACATGTCCTTTGTAAAATATAAAGAGGTGTATGCAGCAGCGGCAGAAGTTCTAGGACTTATTCTTCAATATATGACTAAGGAAAAAAATGTAAGTGTGTTACACAATTCTAAGTGCTTCTTGATATTTGCATATATTTCCTATATGCTATTTCAAACAAAGGGGGCATCTATTAATCTATATATTGTGTTATTAAAGTCTAGTCATTAAATTTTTGTTGTCTTTCCTGTTATGTACCAGATACAATGCTCAGTTTTTTAGAAAGGACATAACGCTTTTTTAAACAGCAGAAATCCTGGCAAACATTTCAAAATTGGCATCCTGTGCGCGTGTCACTGAGGATCAAACCTGGGGCCTTACACGTGCCAGGCAAGGCAAGCACTCCCCACTGAGCCGCGTCTCTAGCCCTGCAACCTTTATTTTAAAAATCAAGATGATAGTGTTTAACCTGCTTTCATTGATTTCACTTCATTTCCTTTTGGAGAAAAAAAATCCTGGTCTGTAGCTACTGTGGTTAGGACCAAGTTGCCTGGGAAAATCCGATGCTTCCAGTTTTGCATTCATGCAGCTGTTGAGCAAGGAGGCACTTCTTGGGGAATGTTCCTCAGTTTTGTGTACCTACTGACTATAAGAAATTGAGAGGACAACCAGCTTGAAGATTTTAGTGCAGCACAGTCCATGTTACTTTGCAGTTAAGTGAAAGTTGCCTGTCAGCGAAGAGGAGGATAGTGCGTGGCTGTGGGCCCACACGCAGCGACTTACACTCTGCCCTGAGTGTGGCGAAGGGAAGCTGTGCTGCGTCGCACCGTGTCGCACTTGCTCACGATGACGCAAGCGGCTGCTGCACTCACAAGGGTGCCCGCCGCACCAGGAGCGCAGCTCTGTGCTGCAGCCCCTGCATAGTTGGTGTGAGGTCTGGGTTCCATCCCAGCACCAGAAAACCCAATCTGCTGCTGTCTGGCCAGGTGGCACCGGCAGCCACTGCTTCCAGGACATTCTCCTGGCTTGCTTCTCCGTTCTCGATAGCTTTTCTCTCTCCCCACCTGCACTGCTTCTCCCAATTTTGGTTGTTGTTTTTTTTTTTTTTTTTTTTCACTGCTCCCCTGCCCATCTCTTCCTGCCTCAAGGCTTTAAAAACCATCCTCATGTTCATGACTCCCAAGTTGGTGCTGGGATCAGCTCCCTTCCTGAACGAAGACAGGACAGGGTCCAGGCCGTGGGTGCTCTCAGCTGGGTGCGGAGGGGCTGAGGGGACCCCAGTTGATCCTGAGTGGACACCGTTGAATCGAACACGCAAACCAAACCCATTTCCCTGACCACAGACTTATTTGGACTGAAAATAAAATTAATCAAGGAAATGGCACCTTCAATAAGATCAAACTTCTTCACATGTAATTTATTTTAGAGATAAATAGCTTTGAAAGTGTGTGTTAAGGATCGACAGGCCTTCCCACTGGGTTAAATCTCCAGTGTTGTGTTTTTTGTTTTGTTTTGTTTCTTCCTTGCAACAGAGTTCCAGTTTCCCAGGCTGGCCTTGAACTTGTAATACTCCTACTTCAGCCTCAAATAGCTAGAATTACTAAATATGTACAACTGTACCTGGTTGGTAGCAATTTTTGTGTCATAAACTATATTTGAGCTATGTTAAAAATCAAACTAGTTTTAGTTCAGCTTTTTTTTTTGGCAGAACTAGGGATTGAACTCAGGCCCTTGTGCTTGCCAGGGAAGCTCTTATTCTACTGAGCCGTCTCCCCGGCCCCTAGTTCAGCTTCTTAAAGGATTTGTTTGCAGTGATTCTGAGTCCTGAGGGGGCACAGGACACGAGGTATTAGCACCTCTCCTGTGGTGTGATCTCTCTGCTAGGCCTCGTGGGAGCTCAAGGACACCAGCCACATTCCATGGCTGATACAAGCCATTCCCAACACTTCCTGTTTCATTATTTGCCTGTGTAGGCGATACCATTGGGTACCTCCCTTGAGTTCACTTAAATATTCAAGATAAACCCTTTTTTAGTATAAGTTTCCACTTTTGTATATTTGAAAAGAAACTTAATTTTTCAGGTGCTGGAGGAGTCCGTGTGCGAACTGGTTGTAAAACAATTGAAGCAACATCAGAATATGATGGAGGACAAGTTCATCGTGTGCTTGAACAGAGCGGTGAAGGGCTTCCCTCCACTGGCAGACAGGTGGGTGGCGCAGGGCGACTCTGGCAGGCGGGGACCCCCAGGCTGTCAGTGGTTTTCTCACCACCACTGCCCCCGCTTAGGTTCTTGAACGCGGTGTTCTTTCTGCTGCCAAAATTCCACGGAGTGATGAAGACACTTTGTCTGGAGGTGATACTTTGTCGTACGGAGGAAATACCAGACCTGTACTTGCAGTTAAAGAGCAAGGACTTCGTCCAAGTCATGAGACACAGGCGAGTGAACGCCAGCCAGTGCGTCAGACAAGCTGTCATTTTCTCTGTGTGGTGTTATCAAAATCTGAAACTACAGGGCAGTAGAAAGAAGGAAAGGTTGCTTATCATACTTTCAATGTATAAAATAGAAATTATTAAATTTGTGTTTATACTATCTTTTATTATAGAGATGACGAAAGACAAAAAGTGTGTTTGGACATAATTTATAAGATGATGGCAAAATTAAAGCCAGTAGAGCTCCGGGAACTTCTGAACCCTGTTGCAGAATTCATTTCCCATCCTTCTCCGATGTGTAGGGAACAAATGTATAATATCCTCATGTGGATTTATGATAATTACAGGTAAGCTGTAAGTGGACATTTCACATGATTTATTTGAGGGGTTATTTGGATACCTTTTGTTATCTGGAACATAATAGAACATTTTTAACCACATGGTTAATAACTAAAACAAGTCTATTTCAGTATATCAAAATATTTAGTCATTTAGCACGTAGGAAATATTCAGAGAGTATAATTATTGGTTGAGTTAGAAGTATACAAGTGTCACTGGGCATGGTGGTGCACACCTCTACCCCCAGCATTTAGAAGGCAGGACGAGGGCCACTCAAAGGAGGGCTGTATCTTTGGCACACGCTACCAGGGGCGCAGTCCGCAGGACCAGCCAGCCGTTTTTTAATTCTAGTCAGTGTGGTTAGGGTTGAACAGAAAGGCTCGGACAGAGTATTAATGTTTTGTCATTTTGTAATTTTTTCACACAGAGATCCTGAAAGTCAAAAGGATGATGACTCCCAAGAAGTATTTAAATTGGCAAAGGA